CTTTATTTGTCACAAGGGAATTGATATTCGCCACAACAAGGACCGTAAGGTTCGGCGTAAGGAGCCCAAGAGTCAGGATATTTATCTTCGTCTCTTAGTCAAGGTGAGAGCCAGGTTTTGCGTTTACACGAAGAAGTGTAAAGACATACGGGTATTGGGGGTGTGGGGAGTTACACTTGACAGCAGTGTGTTGTATATATAAAGGTTCTAGGTGTCATAATTGATCACTTTTGCACGATATGATTCTTAGTTTCTAGGAATCCATTAGCAGCATTTATATTTAATTTTAGACCAGTCGTTGCTTGAATATATATTGGAATATACAGGGGTAACCCAGGGTATGCTGATGCAATTAAGTATTTCAGCTTTGTCTCCCCTCAGTCCAGCATTTTGCCTCTGGCTCCATTGGCTCTTTCATAATCATTCAGGCGATATTAGGAGATGGTGGGCTGTACTTTGTGGTGATATTTTAAAAAAGGCTGGCCTTTATTTGGAAAGGTCTTGTATTGAATAAGGTGGGCTATAAAGTGCTCTGGATTTGAGGCTAATTTCCAGGTGCCTTGGGGCAGGGGGAGAGAGTAACGTTGGAGTATGTTTGGAGGTTTAATTTCCACCTTCTCAGCTCTACAGATTCCTGGCTCGCCGAACCAATGCCAAATTCAACAAGGTGATACTGAAACGGCTATTCATGAGCCGCACAAACCGGCCTCCATTGTCCGTGTCTCGCTTGGTAAGTGCAAATCTGCAATTCTTTTACTGCTTTTCTCTTTCTTCTTGGTCCTTCAGTTACCCCACAGTTTTAGTTTTCTCTCTTTGCTTTGATACCATTGTTCTTTTCCTGTTAAAGGTGGTGCCCCCTCTGCTGTGGCTTTGACCAAATGGAGAAAAAGGAAGTTGGTATCAGTGATGAGTTCAAGAGCAGAACCATAGTAATATTCTAACAGAAGAGAATATTAATAACTGGAGGTGGATCCTGAGCTCAGTTTCTCTTGCAACTAAAAATGTCAGCAGGAAATCAATGAAGCTCAGAGAGCACAGCAGCATTCCCCTCCTGATTAGCAATAGACTTATATGCCACTTCATGGTGCTTTTACAGCTCTCTCTAAGCGGTTTACAGCATATTGCCCTCCAACAATCTGTTAGGTAGTTTGTAGTTAAAAGCAATGCTGCTAAAGGACCAGTGAAACATTTGTTGATAAAGGCAAATTGGTCAAGACTTGCATGCTAACAATCACTCTTTTACTCTCTAGATCCGTAAAATGAAGCTCCAAGGGCGGGAAAACAAAACTGCTGTTGTGGTGGGNAGGAACAGTAGTAATATAATTCTAGTGTACAGGTAGGTCAATATATGACCATAATTGTGGCCAAAATGTGTATTGCTAAGTGTATATTTGTTTTGCTCCATTATATGATTTTTTCTTGCCACATTTGTTTAAGTGAATCACTGCAGTTGTTAAAAGTAGTAAAATTGTTACATGAATCTGGTTTCCCCATTGATTTTATTTGTCAGGTTGCAAAAGGTGACCCCAGGGCACTGCAACCGTCATAAATGTGAGTCAGTTGTCAAGCATCCAGATGTAGATCATATGACCATGGGGATGCTGCCACAGTCATGTGTGAAAAATGGTCATAAGTCACTTTTTTCTGTGACTTTGAACGGTCACTAAGCAAACTGTCCTAAGTTGAGACCTACATATAGTTCAGTTTTCAGTTTATGGCCGTCATTACGTACCTCTCTATGCTTCCTAGGCTGAGGGAATGACAGGGCTAAATCTCTTTTGTACCTAAAGCAGGACTGGATCTCCCAATTTTCCAGATTTCTATCCCAGTGCATGAATTGCTACACTAAACTCAAGTACATTTTTTAAAAATGCAATTATTGAATAGTATTGGAATCTTAACAATACTAAATGGAACTACGAAACGCTAAATGTGAATAACATTTAAAAAATGAAATAGAACTGACTAAATTGACTGGAAAAAAAGTACTTTACTTATTGGTATGTTGTGTGCCTAGCTGTAGTCATTGAGACAGCAAATGAATGAAATCAATCATTTCTCAAGCTCATCAATTTTAAGATGGGTGGATTTCAACTTCCAGAGTTCCCCAGCCAGCATTTGACTAGGGCATTTTGGAAGTTGAAATCCATGCATTTTAAAAGTTCTTGAGGTTGAAAAACAATGGGTTAGATAGTAATGGATATAGATAAAATAAGTCGGAATAACTGATATTTGTCTTTAAAAAATGATAGCTACTTATGTGAAACAGCATAATAATATGGTGCAACATGACTGAATGTCTGTTGCTATTGTGCCATATCTCATTCTGATGTATTTTACATTTTGTTCACATGATTTTTACATACCCTAACCCTTGTCAGATATGCAAAACCATATCTGAGAGGGAGATTGTCATTCACAGTTCAATTTTATAAATGCTTGCAACAGAAGATCTTATAATTACAGAGAGGTCTTGACTTACAACAGTTCATTTAGTGACAGTTAAAAGTTAAAGCATGTGACTTATGGATATTTTTCACACTTAACGTCTGTTGCAGCATTCTGGTGGCCAAATGATCAAAATTCAGACGCTTGGCAACTGATTCATATTTATGACAGTTGCAGTGTCCTGGGTTCATGTGATCTTTTGTGACCTTTTGACAAACAAAGACAATGGGGAAGTCAGATTCACTTAACGACTGTGTTACTAACTTAACAGCAATGATTCACTTAATGATGATGGCAAGAAAGCTCATAAAATGGAGGAAAACGAAGGAAATCTCGCAACATAATTTTTGGGCTCAAATTCTGATGCTCTCAAAAGAAAGTGTATGTGTATATATGTATATGTATATATACACACACACACATATACATACATACACACACACACACATACATAACACATATACATATGCTATATACATACACATAAAAATACACACACACACACAAGTCGAGGCCTACTTGCATAGGGAAGCAAACTTAAGTCTTGAGATTTTTCATAGACTAGATATAACCTTCCATGTCAGAAGCACCAAAGGGCTTCGGATCAGGATCAGCCAGTGATGTCCCCATTGCCTGGGGGACGGCCAGCTTCAAATATGGGCCTTCAAATTTGTCAACCCAGCCTGCTTACCATGTGAATCAATGTATTCCTTATAGACTAGATCCATGATGCAAACCTATGGCATGCATGCCACAGGTGTCACACGAGACCATATTTGATGGCACGCGAGGCATTGCCCTATGTCAGGGGGAGTTGGAATGCCTGCTCTGGCAGCAGTCCCTGGTTTTTCTTTTCTTCAGATCCTGATTACAGTTTAATTAGAGCATTTTGATTTTGTCCAAGCTAAACTCTTATTTGACATTATATAATAGATATAATGCCAAAACACAGGACATCCTTGACTTACCACCACAGTCAAACCCAACATTTCTGTTGTTAAATGAGACAATTGTTAAGTGAGTTTTGCCCCATTTTACCACCTTTGTTGCCACAGTTGTTAAGTGAATCACTGCAGTTGGTAAACTAATAAGCCAGTTGTTAAGTGAAAATTGCTTCTCCATTGACTTTGCTTGTGAGGTCACAGAAGGGGATCACATGATCTTGGGACACGGCAACTGTCATAAATATAAACTAGTTGCCAAGCATCTGAATTTTGATCACGTGATCATGGGGATGATATAAAGGTTGTAAGTGTGAAAAAATGGCCATAACTCACCTTTTTCAGTGCCGTTGTAACTCTGAACAGTCATTAAATGAATGATTGACTACCTGTATAAAGAAACAAGATCTCTCGACAGGGAAAGGTATATATGAGATATTTCCACTAACCTGAATATTTCTCTTTATTTGTCACAAGGGAATTGATATTCGCCACAACAAGGACCGTAAGGTTCGGCGTAAGGAGCCCAAGAGTCAGGATATTTATCTTC